GCCGCCGCCGCTGGTGGTGCCGTCGACGTCGTCGTCGTCGTTGTCGTCGTCGTCGTCGTCGTCGTTCGTCGTCGTCGTCGTCGTCGTCGTCGTCGTCGTCGTCGTCGTCGTCGTCGTCGTCGTCGTCATCGCTGTCGTCGTCGTCCTCCTCCTCCTCTCCTCCTCCTCGTCCCTCCTCCTCCTCCTCCTCCTCCTCTCCTCCTCCTCCTCCTCCTCCTCCTCCTCCTCCTCCTCCTCCTCCTCCTCCTCCTCCTCCTCCTCCCCCCCCCCCATCCCATCTGGGGGGGGGCCCGAGGACCCTGGGACCCATCCCATCTGGGGGGGGGATAAATTTCAGTTTTGTGTTTCAATGCATCCCGTATTTCTCAAGCAGCTCCTCGGTGTGCTGGGGCTGCCCGAGCGTCAGCGTGCGGCACCACGTTGCTAGTCCGTCGACTGGCCCGCGACCTGGGGAACAAGGCCATGGCACGGAACGCTGCGCGGAGTCTAAGCTAGCTCAAACAGTGAAGTGGCCCAGCTGTGCCTGGGCCCTGGCCGGATTGCACCGGTGCCGTGGCCAGCTGCGCGTGCTAGTCTTGTACCAACGCACGCGCCGCCATGGGAGAGAGGGAAATAGAAGGAGAGAGAGAGGAGGGAGGGGAAGAGGAGGAGGAGGAGGAGGAGGAGGAGGAGGAGGGAGGAGGAGGAGGAGGAGGAGGAGGAGGAGGAGGAGGAAGAGGAGGAGGAGGCGGAGGAGGAGGAGGAGGCGGTATTATTATTATTATTATTATTATTATTATTATTACTATTATTAATACTATTATTATTATTATTATTATTATTATTATTATTATTTATTATTATTATTATTATTATTATTATTATTAATATTAACAAGTATTTTTTATTATTTCGAACAATATAATAATAGTAAACCAGCGTAAAATAGTGATAATACGAATAACATGAATTATTATACAAATTACGAATAGTAAGAATACGAACAAGACGAGTACTATTGGTAACACTCGGAAGACGATACATACGTATCATACTAACAATGCTACAATAAAACTAATAGTAATGTTGTTACAAAATAATAATTTCAAGGAAGAGGAGGAGGAGGAGGAACAGTAGCAGTAGGAGGAGGAAGCGGACCAGCGGCCGCGCTCCTCCTTCTTGAGGCCAGCTGCCTTGCAGAGCTGCCTGGCTGGGAAGGCCTGCAACACTGCGCTCAGGACCTTGTAGGCCCGCGCCAGCTCGCGTTGCTCCAGGTCGCCGGGCAGCTGGCGAACCTGCTCCAGCAGCTGGAGCCGTGCCTCGGCCCCTGTCCTACCGCCCGTCTCCAGGATGAAGGGCGTCAGGAACGCGCCCGGGTAGCGCGCGTGCCTGTCACGCGCGCCCTGGCGCCCAGCTTCCCCGTGGCGCCGAGCCAGCCACCCGTAGCTCGGCGGCCGCGCCCTCCGCAGGGTGGCGGACGGTCATGTCCAGCCATCTGCGGCCTTTGCCGTCCTGGTACTGGAGGTCCAGGATCGCGTGTTCAAGGCGCCCCCCGCGGAGGCGATCCCACGACGGGACTCGCTGCTCGAAAAGAGGCCTCTCGTTCCGCCAGCGAGCGATCAGCCCCCCAGGCGCCACGCGAGGTGGCCATGGTGCGCCACGACCCCGCCGCCGATCTGGCAAGTGAGCGCGTGGTAGCCCGTCGTCGAGCGTCCCGCCGCAGCTGGCTCCGCTCGCCGCGCGCGCGCAGCAACTCTCTCCGCGCGGAAGCAGCAAAACGGCGCTGCCGCGGCAGCCCCGCTCCTGCTGCGAGAGCTCTGCTCTCAATGGCCAGCAGCACTGGCAGCGCCAGCGTCGTCTCCCCCAGGTCGCGCCACAGCAGCCCCTGCCAGCAGACCGCCCGCATGCTGGTCGCAGTGCGCCGTGGCCGCGTCCGCTGCCAGCTCCGTCCGCAGGGAGTGCTGGCTCGCCGGCCCCGCGGAGGCCCGCAGCAGCGCGCCAGCCATCTGCTTGCTGAGCTCAGCCTAGTTCTGTTTCGGCAGCTCGCCTGTGAGGTCCCTCGGCCGGCACGCCGCCCTCCCCAAGCGCTCGCTGGCTGGCTGGCGCGCCAACGTCCGCGTCCCTGGGCGGGCGCGGGCGCTTCCCGAGCACTGGCAGCCTCGGTGTCCAGCACCTTTGGAGGCTCACCGTCCAGCCCACGCCCCCCCCCGTCCCGCGGGAGACCACGCTGCTGTCTTGCGCTGGCTGAGCCGCAGCCCAGGAGAGCTGAGGGCCCGCTTCAGTTAGCGAGCGAAGAACGGTATAAAATAAACTTTTCCGCTGTCGGGGGCGCCTGTCCCTGGGCGGCTGGAAAGTTTACACCCCTACGGTGCCACCGTAAGGGTATAAACTTTCCAGCCGCTCTGGGACAGGCGCCCCCGACAGCGAAAAAGTTTATTTTATGGCATTCTTCGCCCGTTGATTCAGGGTTCGCAGGGCGAGCTCGGCCAATTGCGCGTTGACGACCAGGTAGCACTCGTCGAGGCAGCAGCAGAGCCTCGCCCCTGGGTTCAGGCGCAGGAGCTCGAGCATGCACCCGTTCATCGCAGCCCTCTGGGCCACTGCAATACCCAGCTGGCGAGAGCGGGCCTCGCTGGTCGGAGCCCCGCGCGCTGTTGATCGGGTGGAATTTTCCCGCGGAGTCTCTCCAGAGGTGCTCCGCCGACCATGCGTTCCACGCCCGGAGGACTGAGGCCACCTCTAGCTCGTGCGCGGACATCGCCGTGGCGGCCAGCTCGCACTCCGGAGGACAGAAGGCGGGCCTCCATGTCCAGCCTGAGGGAGGTGACCGCCTGGCCTGGGCGTGGCCCTCGAGCTTCCGCAGCAGCATCCCTGTGCCACCTACCCGCAAGACACCGTACTGCACCTTTCCGGCGGCATCTCGCAGCTGCTCCTTTTTTCGGAGGTTGACGGACCTCCTACCCTGACACGTCGATTAAGGAATCGGCCGTTTTCGGTTCGCGAGAGGGCGTCGCGGCCGTCATTTTTGCGGGTCCAGGTCCGTCGGTTTCGGTCCCAGGCCGTATTTACTAAGGGGAGGTCTACTAAAGGGAGGTTTGTCCACCGCCGAAGAAGGAGGGCCTCCATGTCCAGCCGGAGGGAGATGACCGCCTGGCCTGGGCGTGGCCCTCGAGCTGCCGCAGCACCATCCCCGTGCCACCTACCCGCAAGACACCATGCTGCACCTTTCCAGCGGCATCTCGCAGCTGCTCCTTTTTTTCACCCGCACAAGCGCGCGGAGCCCAGGCTGCCGCAGAGTGGAGCCGACGAGGAGCGGCCTCGCCCTGTCTTCTCCTCCGGTGGGCTGCGACCTTGCAGGTCCGCAGCGCTCTCAACACGTCGTCTGGCAGCAGCCCAAAGGCGACCCATGCGATAACTTCGGCCAGCCATCCCAAGGTTTGCCCGCAAAAGCCTGCGGCTGCCAGGTGCTCAAGCCGGCAGCCAGGCAGCCTGGGCGCTGTCAGCCTTGGCGGTCGCCGAAGCAGCTTCTGTGTCTTCGCCTGTTTCTTCGAACAACTCTGGGCTCGGAGCCGTGTTGGGCGCCGTCTGTAGCCCCGCAGAGGCGGCGGGAAGCAAGTCCGCACCTTTCCCAAGGTCGCCAGGGTCCTCGGCGCGAGCTTGGTCCCTGTAGCTGCCCAGAGCGCTCTCCCCGCAGCCTCCCTTCCGCCTCCTCCTGCTTCTTGCCTCACTGCCTCCCTTTGCCTCCGCCTGCTTCCTGTCTGCCTGCCTCCCTTCTGCCTCCTCCTCCCTTCTGCCTCCTCCTTCCCGGCTGCTGCGAAGGTGTGGACTCTGGCGCCCCCCTGTTTGTTCCTCTGCTTGGCCGCGGCCGCGGGTTGTTTCTTCCCGTGCCAGATGGAGGTCCAGAGCTCAGACCATCGGCGCCAGGCGCTCCTCGAGACTCTGGGCAAGTGGTCGCCTCCCCGGCTGCTGCTGCTGCTGCGGAGAAGGAGGTCCAGCATCAGGAAGGCCTGCTCACCTCGCTCGTGTCTCCGTTGCGCCGGGCCTCCCCGCCTGGCTTTGAGGACGGCCCGCGGAGTCTTGCCGGAATCTGCACGCAGGTGGTGGCCCCCACGCGTAGGATCTCGTCCCGGGAGAGCTCTGCCCAACAGGTTTTCCCTGGTAGGCGTGCTTCCTCCCAGTGCAGGTGCAGTGGTTCAGCCGCCTGCTCCTCCTCTCCCTCCATTTCGGGGTTTTCTGGGCGAGGATCGGGCTGTGCACGTCTTTGCTGCCTCCGCGTTCTCCTCCGGGCCCTGTCCGCACGGCCGGATTTCAGCTGTCTCTGGCATGCGGCCTTGGAGGCCGGCTGGGCAGAGCCACCTGGAGCACGCCTGGGCGCCACACGTACAAGTCCTGAGCTCCCCCATCTGGAAGATCACCACGCACGTCTTGCAGGAAGCTGGTCTGGTTGAGGGAGCTCGCACGTCCATGCCCCCAACTGGCGCTCCACGAAGTGGGGCTTCCGCCTCCGTGGCCCCCGCGTTCCCGTCCTCCTCCATCCTCTCTTCCTGTTCTTCCCCTCTCGGCCGCTGTCGTCGCCAGCCTCTCTCCGCCGGTGCGTCCGCTGCGGCGGGTCTCGCCCTTGCTTCATGCATGCCGGGGGAGACATGACTCTGCTTGTGGGCGTGCGCGCGTGTCGGCGCGCCGTCTTGAGCCAGGCAAGCAGAGAGAAAGAGAGGAGAGAGAGAGGAGAGAGAGAGAGATAGAGCGAGAGATGGAGAGAGAGCGCGGCAGCGGGCCGAGACGCGCGTGCGGGGAGAGGTCGAGGCTGAGGCGTGGACGGGGCCGCCTGTCAGGAGGGGAAAAAACACAGAGGCACAATCAATCGTCGATTCCCAGGAAGATGTGGGAAACTATGGGAAGTGGGGGGGAAGACTAAGAAACCAGAACAAATATGAAAACACGGCGAATCTCGTTATTCGTGTGTGTATCCATTGGCGTGCCCTTGGGGGCCCCTGGAGCCTGTGCCGCCGCGCCCGGCGCAGGAGAGCGTGCTCGGGCTGGAGACGGCGGGGCCCAGCGAGCGGCAGGAGGCGCGGGCGGGCGCTGCCGCCGCGCCGCGCCGCGCCGCCCCCCCCGCGCGCGCCGTCCCTCCGCCACGCGCTGCCCCGCGCGGCCCTCCGCCCGCCTGCCCCGCGCCTGCCGCCGCCCGCCCGCCTTGCCTTACGTCGGGCCTGCCCCTCCACGGGGGGGAATTTGCAGAGACAGTCAACAAAACGTAGCCCGGGGACTATTGTTCGAATCTTTTGGGGGCATTTTTTGGCCATGCTTTCGAGTATCTCTAGTTCTTCTCGTCCAAAATCCCCCTGTAGGGGGACAGGCCCGACCTAAGAGGAGGAGGAGGGCGCACATCGATCGGCCGATCGGTCGACGAGTGACCGGCGACGAGGGTGGGGTGGGGCCGGGCGGTGACCCGACATCCCGACATCTCGGATGGTAGTGGTTTGCTGGACATTGTGGTTTGGCGATGTTCAGTATGTAGCCCTCTTTATGCAAATGTAGAGTTATACCTCGACATCGAGATTTCTAGATATGGATGCAAGACATTGGGGCCACAAAACATTGGCCTTACCTGCCTTTTGCTCCCGTCGCTCCCTGAACTGATAGCGTGTGAAACATGTCGGATGCAAGTATGGCTCATTCATATCGTTGTGTGTTGTTCGATCGCCTGCAAAGGAACATGTTTCATACAGTCTTGGGCACCGGGGCGCCCTGGCGGCACGGGAAATGACAGCGTCTGGAGACACATACGCGTCCCATAATGGGGCTGTGGCAGGCTGATCGTCATCATGATAAGAGGGTTCTGGACGGCACCGAAGGGCTCATAGGAAGGTTACCGTTTTTCAGATCGTCCCCACAGGTTTCGTTTGCAGGGCTCGTTGGAGGATTGCCATAGTGGGCTAGTAGGGAACGCGTGCTCATGCGTTCCATGCAATCGTTGGCATATGTTGGAGCTCTCCTTCAACTTCCCCAGGTTTCATTAGAAGATCCCCGATCACGATTCTCACTTGTCGTCAGTTGGGTGCTCATTGAATAGCAGTGGCTTGTTGTCTGACTTGTTCCGTTGCAGTTCCAAGGTTTTGCCGATGCTTGCACGAAGAATCCCATCTGGCTCGATCCCTAGCCCTAACGCTTGGGACTCTGGTATCGCCCAAAACGGATTTCAACATTCGGATACCCGATCGAGTCTCGATCGAAATATTGGATGAAATTCGCAAACCCAGCCTCGAAATATTTGTTGGAGCCTGGAGCGCATGCTGGTACAAGTGGGCTCTGTCGTGGGCGGGGTCCCGTACCCCACCCAGTACGGATGTCCAGTGGGCCCAACGCGTCTGATACCCCTCCCGCGAGTGCTTGCCGAGGGTAGGGACACGAGGGGTTACGGCGGCCAGGCGGGTCTTGGAGAACAGTCCACGGAGGGGTGTCAGACGTGCTGGCGACCCTTGACGTTCGCCACGGCGGTCGCCGACGAGGAGAAAGGAGGAGAGGAAGGATGAGGAGAGACGGGGAGAGAGACGAGGGATGAAGTGACGGGCGGGGGCAAGCAACGGCGACTTCGAGGCAGGGCCCCACCCAACGAGGCTGGCATCTGGGGCCTGGCGGTCCTCGCGTGCCTGCGTGCGCTGCCCCTGGGCCGCGCCACGCTCTGGGACGCGACGGGGGGTCGTGGGTCGCCGCTGTCATCGCCGCAGTCGCCGTTGCAGTGGTTGAGGTGGTGGTCGTGGTAGTGGTGGTGGCGGTCGTCGTCGCCCCTCCTCTTCCATCCTGCCTTCCTCTATTATTATTGTTGTTGTTATTATTATTGTTATTATTGTTATTATTGTTATTATTGTTATTATTATTATTATTATTAATATTTTGTTTTCACCTTCACCTCCTCCGTCTCTCCTCCTCCTTCTCCCTCCACCTTCCTTCCTTCCTTCCAGCCCTTCCTCGCTCCCTTCTCTCTCTCTCTATGCCACGTTTTCCTGACGGTGTGCCCCAGGCAACCCGTACCCACCCACGTTTCATTTTTCTGGAAGACTTCGCGGACACGTCATGTTTACACCGCCCTACGCTCTCCAGAACGGCCTTCGATTGGAGGGCTGCCTAAGCGATTTTTAGAATCATAGTCGGTCATTTAAGAGTGTAGGTTCTGCCATGTTGGTGGGACGCCGCATTTCTGTCGATTCCTTGCCGATGCATCGTCGCCTGGTGCTCGGCTTGACTTGCAGTCGGTCATCCGACTTTTCCTCGTTTCCTCCTCTCGTTTCGCTTGTCTTCTTTCCTCCCCTTCTTTTCTCCCTTCCTTTCCCCTTTTTCTCCTCTCGCGTCATCCCCCCTCCTCTCCCTTCTCTCCCTTCTCTCCTCCCGTCCCCTCCGCTCGGACGGTACTTGCTCTGCCTATCTCGCCCTTTCTTTACTTGTCCTTGTTGCTGACATTTTCAGGTACATGTCCGCGTCCGCTCTCAGACACGCTTTCGTCCGCTCCACATTGCGTCTAGCGGGAACGTCCAGCTTTCCATCACATCTTTCCTTGCATTTCATTTTTGATTGGCAGCAGAACTTCGGCTCCAATACCACGGCCGCAATGGCTTTTCGCTTTCGCCTCGCTTCGACAGCACAGGTCCCAACTCTCCGACGTTGTACGTCCAGCTGGTCATCTCGTTGGACAGCCGCTCTTAGTCCGGCGCCTTCGTGCACTTCTTCTCGTCCACCTGCGGGGCAGTCGCCCCTCCGCGTCCAGGACCAGTGACCGGGAACGTGCACAACCAATGCCACTCCCAGCGCGACAGCGAGACCAACAAGGGCGCTGGCCGCTTGCTGGAAGCCCCAGCGATCTTTCGCGGGCTTGCGCTGACCGTGTCGGCGCAGCTCGCGGACCCTACTCCTTCGGTGCGCCCGTCTGTGGGAGTAACCGAAAATGTCGGACAGTTGATTGATTCGACGTTCACGTGTACGGCGTCGGGCAAGGGCCCCGAGCTCCTGGGGCCTGTGTCACGAGAGCTCTTGGAGGAGCAGGCAGAAAAGAGCGGGGGATAATGGAGGGCCCGGTGACTGTGTTACCATCACTCCGAGGGGCAGCGAAGCGGATCTGGGAGAGCCCGCCTTCGACTTCTTGGAGCGTGACCGTGCACCTTGCCCGCGCATCCCTTGCAGATCGGCAGGACTGGGTCCCGATGCGCACTCCTTTTGACGATCGTGCAGTAGGCGGTACTCAATGCAGTGACATCACACGACGTGCGAGGGGCATTCCCGTGTCTTTGTCGCGGGATGTTCCGAGTGCCGATGGCAGCATAACTGCGCGACGGAAACACGCGCCCGATGCGTGGGCGAGGAGGGGCACACCCGAGGCAAGTGCCGACGGCGGCTCCGAAGCACCCTGCCCGAGCAGCGCGGCCGGCGGATCCCCGGCCATCAGCGCCTCGACGACACGAGGAGGGAACTGCACCTGGGATCGAAATCGAAATCCATCGGAGTTGGCATGGTTGCCATCGCCAACTGCTTCTCCTGCGTGGGCGCAGGCGGCGGCGTCGGCAACGCGCGTCACTTCCGCGCCCGGGGGTCGAGCAGCAATCTCGAGTGCCCTTCCAGAGGGGTTCGCGAGGTGAAAACTCCGACCTCGACGAGTTTTGCCTGGCGGAATACGTCTCGTCCCGCCTCGGCGGCATGGCGCGCGAGTGCGCGGGCGGAAGGCGGCGGGCTGTCCTGGCCCAAGGAGGTCTCATCAATGCCAATCCAGCGCGTCCGATGACCCATGGAAAGTTTGGCCGAGCGGTGGGGCCACCTTTGCGGGGGGGGGGCGCGCTTCGGCAGTGTCTGCACATATGAACTCGAACAGACCGCCGCAAGGGCGCATCGCTTGAACAGACCGCCGCAAGGGCGCATCGACGACCCCCTCGCGCGGTTCGACGCCCTCCGCAACCGAGCGCGGCAAGTTGCTCAATTCAGGATCGGCTACGAGGGTCTCAGCTTCCTCTTGCTGCGCGCCGTCGGCGCGTCGGACATCTAGCTGGCCGTGGTCGTGCAGTTATTTCGCGCCGCCTGTTTCGCGAACGCAGCGCAGCTCGCGCGCGTGGCGGGCCGGCTTCGGCGCCGTGGGCGCGCGGTCGAGGGGTCGCCCGGCGCCGCCCTGCCCATTGGCGCGATTTCCTCGCGGGCGCGCCCGTGCAAGATCAGGCTCGCGGTGCCTGTGGTTCTGTAGCTGGACCGAGCCGTGGCAGCATGGGCCTGGCCGCGCTAGGGGCGGCGCCGGGCGCGCCGGCGCTGGCGGCCGCCGGCCGCGCCAGAGAGGCGACGCCTCCGCGGTGGGCGCTCCCAGCAGCGGGTTTTGATTCGGGCGCCGATGCCGACGCCATGTGCGCCTCCGGCGAAGACGTTCATTCCAGAACACCGCTGTGCGCGTTCCGAAGCACGCTGGGGCAGCTTGCGCAGCCGCGAGCCCGCGCGCCGTGTCCGGGGGGTCGTCGGGCGGAAGGGTGAGGGCCGCGGCCGGGGGTGCCGCGCCTTCCTGGCCGACCTGTCCGAGCACGTCCGCGGGGAAGCTTTCGTGGGCGCGGGGGGGGTGCAGAGGTGAAGGCCTGGGGAAGTTCCGAACTGGTAGCGCGCGTTTTGGCCGTCAAGGCAACTCCGCGGGCCCTGGCGGGGCGCGGTCCAAATGCCACGAGTGCGTCTCCGAGAAGCACCTCGTGCGCTGCTGCCCCTGGCGCCGCAGCCAAGGGCGCACCCTCTTCCTTGGTGCCCCCGCCCCGGCGCCCACTCGCGGTGGGGCGGTGGGACGATGCTGATGAGGATGATGATGATGATGATGATGATGATGATGATGATGACGATGACGATGACGATGACGATGACGATGACGATGATCATGATGATGATGATGATGATGATGATGATGATGATGATGATGATGATGATGATGATGATGATGATGATGATGATGATGATGATGATGATGATGATGATGATGATGATGATGATGATGATGATGATTATGATGATAATGATGAGTATGATTATGATTTTGATGAGGATTCTG